GAAGAAGCAGAAGGGAATAAGGGCAAGCTCAGAGGAATGAAGAAGGTTATCAAGAGAGTGGAATTGCCAAAAACTTTCGAAAAAACAAATCCTTCACCTATTTATAGTGTTGGGAGGCGCCAGAATCGAAGCGGGGAGCCAAAAAGTAGCGCTAAAACCGAAACATCAAGCCATCAACTCCTTCCTCGAAAACATGCGTGATGATGATGCACGTGAAGATGACAACATTTCCCGGTAAAATATATTACCCGGTGTCTTTCCAAGCACGCCAACCTTCCCCCATTGGCCATTTTGTAACGTCACAATGGCTCAAATTTCTCCATAGGAACGTGTGGTGTCCGCTCATCGAGGACGCAACCAGTTGCGACCCCCGACAAGCGGAGGGACTAACTGTATGGGTCCAAATTTGACCGACCACGACCGAAGATGAGTACGACGATTGACGGAGCCTCCTCGAATTGACGCCCTGAGGGAGACAACCCTGAAGCAAACCAGAGACGGGACGACCCTTGTAATAATGTATGGCCATCCAGGGTCATTGGGAATATTCCTTCAAATATTCCTTGTATTTTGTCTTTTACAATTTAGAAGAATTTCTCTCTTACTATAAAAAGAGGACAATAACCTTGTAACAGGCATTGAACATTCTAGAGATATTTTCTATTTTATGAATGAAAAGAAACCTTGTGACATATCTTCTCCTTATTTATCGATCTTTCTAGAGATCATTATCCTCAGCTAAGATTTACCCCTTCATCTTTGATTGATTTGTTCAAAAGGATTTTAATATCTTTTGAGTCAAACAATATCAATAAATTTTCTTGTTAATTAAGTAAGTGGCAGATATGCCAAAGTTCGATCCTAGATCCCGTGGTTCCCTCCTATTTATCCCGGCCCAAATGGATCCAGCCAAAAAAAAAAAAAAGAATAAAGACAAGTGAATTGCAATATTTATATTTATATAATTTAATTAATTATGAAGAGGTTGTCTCTAAATCTAAACATTAAATAATTAACATCGTTTGCTTCTCATCATCCAAATGTATATAATTTATTTTTTATTCTTAAACTAATAAATACATAATTAAAAAAATTATTTTATATAGTATCAACAAAAATTTTAAAAAAAATCTTATATGTTTGATTAAAAACTATTTGTTTGATGAAGCACATAATGGGTGTCAATTGATACCCCTTTATTGGAAAATTACGTTGTATAATTAGGCTAAAATTTTAATTTTATGTATATATTATATGTTGAATTATGTTAATCTTTTTGTGTGATTACTATTTGACTCCTTAATGAAATTTCTGCACCGCCACTGATTATGAGATAGTAGAGTTATAGTACGTGGAGGTAGTCATCATATACTATATCTCGACTAGCCTATTTGTCCTTGTTAACAGTTTCAGAACGTGAAAGTAGTTTTTTTAATTAATTGGAACAATATATACGTAATAAATAATATAATTTGCTGTCAAAACGATCTCTCAATTATGAAATTAAAGTATGTGACCACCAAAGGATACGGTGCAATGGATGTGACTGTTCTTTTCTTAACCAGAGGTCTCAGGTTCGAGCCCTAAGTATTAAAAAATTCTTGATAGTGAACGTTTTTCCCTGAGTAGAGTCCTAAGCGGCGTGAATCCGAATATAGTCAGATTTTATTGCGGATGCCGGACATCGGATAAAAAAATGTAGAGTATGTGCAGGTAGACCCTACAAGAATATCAGCATAGCCTCTTCTAAATTTTTATTTTTTTAAAAAAAAAGGAATTAATTGGACTCTTTCGGCCTTTTGACAGGATGTCTGGCTAACATTTAAGTAGCAGTACACCATACCTTTGACTGTATATTTCAAAAGAATCCACGTGCTAAAAGCCAACTAAATTTAAGTTAAATTATGCAGATACACGATTATCGTAATTTGACCAACACCAATGGCGGCTATCATTCCTACGTTATTTCACATGCTTTATGCAAACTTTGTTAACGGTATAAATATCTTTGCACCGTCGATTAACAGAATCGATATACCAAAATTAAATAAAGTTCGAACAATACATAAAAATTAATTATAATTTAAAGCTCTACTTATTTTAAAGTATATAGCGACAGCCCTCTGCATGTCAAGAAATTTCTAAGTTAATTCGAAGAATGAGGCCGTTGAAAGAGAGTTTATAACTTCTAATTAGAAAGCAAATGAATAAAGGAACAGCGTTCTTGTGGTGATCAGCTTTTTGGCCTCTAATTATAGATTATCCGTTTGTTTCTTCCTTTTACTTTATGGCTGCATATGGAATGGGAAAATCGATCTAGGATCCTAGAACGAGGAAGATATATAGAGATCTGAAATGAGAGAGAAGAGGAAAATCTAAATGCTTTATTTAATATTTTCCATCTATATATATACTAGTTTCTCGGCACGTACAACATTTTTTTTAATAAAGTTCCACAGACAGATGTCTAAGCGTTGTATTGCAAAAAATGATCAGTGAGGGGGGCTAGGCCTGACCTCGAAAACATAATACAACATGGTGATTGCTATCACCCGAAAAGGACAGTAGAGGAAAAACTACTTCTCCACTGCCACAGCTATATACATCCTAATTTAACTAACAAAAAAATTGTTCTTTTCATACTTTGTTCTAAAACTAGGCATTTTCCACTTATCCATCATGAAAGGGCCTTTGGCTTCTTTAGGGAGTTGTTCAAAGGATTGGTAGATTATTCTTGTACCAAATATGGAGGCGATTTTAGCTAAGGCATCAGCTACCTGATTTCCTTCTCTATAACAATGTTGAATCGTCGCATTTGCTTCTTGAACCCATCTTGTAACTCTATCTGCCACCATCTTTAGTTTCCTATTCTTGTTTCCTTCTTGGTTGATCATGTTCACTATGATATATGAATCAAGTTCGAGAACAAAATTAGCGAAACTCAACTGGTTGCACCATTTTCCTCCGAACTCAGCAGCTAGAGCCTCGGCCATGTTATGACTATCACAATCTATCGACATTGCATAAGCCATGATACAATTTCCTTCCTCATCTCATATGATTCCTCCTATGCCGGCTTTCCCACTTTCCTTAATATAGCTTCCGTCTGTGTTAACTTTAATCTTGGCATGAAGCAGAGGATGTCATTGAACTTGCTTCCACATTTGTACAGGCTTCATCTTTTCAATTAAGTTGCAGAGGGAAGGCCAGTTATATTGAGTATTTTCATTTGGCATAAGTTTGGCAATATTGGCTTTGATGTTCCATTCCACCTGTCGCTTCATGACATTGTGTTGGAATTTCCTTTACGTGCCATATCTACAAGAGCATCTTTGTTTCCAAATTTTCCAGCAGATAAAGGTTGGTGCAGCTTGTAGAACCCGACCATGAATTTTATTTTTTGTTTTGACTTCCCACCAATTCTTGAGAATTGCCGCAATAGGTGCATTTTGGTGGGTGATGCCCAATGGGCTGCCAATGTTCTTCCATATGTGTATCGCCGCTTCACTTTCTACAAAAACATGTTGCATGGATTCCACCTGTGGTACATTACAACAAGAACACCTCGACACAATGTTAGTACCAAACTTACCAATTAAATCATCAAATGACAATTTTATTTTCAAAATTCTCCAAGTTAGGACGGACATTTTAAAAGGAATAGAATGATGCCAAAGATTCTTTAAAAAATTGTTTTTTTGTTTTTTAAATCTAATATAGTTCCATGCCGATTTCTTTGAGAAATTTCCATCATCCAATAAGGACCAATAGGGAAATCATCATTCGTATCATTACCTACCTCAATTTTGCAAATAAGATCAAAGATGCGGGAAGGAAGAACCTGATTTAACCTGTTGATGTCTCATTTCCCATTAGTTAAGAATTCCTTAACTTGGGTTTTGGCCGAGTTCCTGATGCCCTGCACCTGATGGGCCAAGGGGCCTTCACCAGTCCAATTGTCCCACCAAAAACTTGATGAGCCATTTTGGATGCTCCATTTAATGTGCCTTTCCACCCTGTGCCTGGTTTTTATCAAGTTTTTCAAAATGTGAGAGTCTTTTGAGGTCATGGTTTTACTTACCGGATGAGATCTCGGACAGTATTTGGCTCTGAGAAAGGTGGCCCATAGAGAGTTTTGAGTTCTAAACCTCTACCATCTCTTGATACTAAAGTATCAATTATATCATGCATCCTTCTAATTCCAATGCCGCCTTCCTCTTTGGGAAGGCACATATTGTGCCAAGAACTCCAATGATAGTTATTAGACCCGTTTGTAGAACCCCAAAAAAAAATTGCAAAATGTTTTTCTATGAGAGTAATAGTGCTCTTGGGGGGGGCTCATAGCAGACAAAGTGTAAGTGGGGAGATTTTGCAATACATGCTTGATCAGAGTAATTTTCCCCCCTGGGGAGAGAATTTTACCTTGCCATCCATTGAGTCTTTTAATAATCTTAGCTAGCATACCTTCAAATAAAACAATGGTTTTCCTTCCATGATAAATAGGGCATCCCTCCCAGATAATTGAAAGGAAATTTTTTATCCATGAAACCTGAAGCTTGTCGAATTCTGTTAATCCTGGAAGCAGAGGTGTTAGGAGACATGATGAAATAACACTTGTCATTGTTGAATTTTTGCCCTGACGCCTTCTCATACCTCTTGATTTGCTTCTTGATAAGTTTGATGGATTTCTTGTTACCTCCACAGAATATGACAATATCATCTGCATATGTAAGGTGATTGATCTTGGGCCTCTGTTATTCATGCTGAAAGGGGCAAAATCTTCAAATATGAAGAGGTTATTCAAGGATCTGGTAAGCACTTCCACACTAATAATAAACAAATATGGGGAGAGTGGATCTCCCTGTTTCAAGCCCTGAGAATAGGTGAAGTCTATTACCATTAATAATAATAGAGTACCAAACTCCCTTAATCCGACCCCAAATGATGTCAATCTACTCCTCTGAGAAACCAAATTTCCTTAAAACCGACATGATAAAGCACTATGACATTCTATCGTATGCTTTCTCCATGTCTAATTTGATAATAACATTACCCCCGCAGTTTTTGTTCTTGATGTTCTGGGTGATTTCTTGCGCGAGCAGTATGTTTTCAGTGATGGATCTCCCTTTGACAAACCTATTTTGATTTTCTGAAATGATTTTATGGAGTATAGGATTTAGCCTTCTAGCAAGGATTTTGAAAATGATTTTGGCAGTGAAGTTGCTTAGACTGATGGGTCTTAGCTCAGAGAAACTGTTGGGTGACTTTACTTTAGGAATTAGCACCAAGCATGTTTGTGAGAAGAACTTGGTCAGCCTTTTTCCATTGAAGATTTCTTGTACAAAGTTAGTGATATCATCTTTAATTATATCCCAGCATTTCTGAAAAAAAGTGTCGTTAAAGCCATCAGGACTAGCTGCACTATTAGCACCCATATCAAAAACAGCATATCTAATTTCCTCCATATTAGGCATAGCAGTCAGTAAAGTGTTATCATCATCAGTGATAATCCTAGGAATGCAATCAAGGATGTCCTTAAACTGGTGCGTAATGTTGAATCTCTTGTGAAAGTGTCTAATAGTAGCCTTTGCAATGTCATCATCTCCTTCCACCCATCTGTCTCTGTGATATTTTATCTTGTGAAGCTGTAACCTTCTTCTTTTTTCCCTGATCAGACTATGAAAATATTTATTATTACTGTCACCCTCTTCGAACCATTTGATGTTTGCTTTCTGCTTAAGGATAGAATCTTGCATGGTCATCCATTTGATGTATTCTGCTTGCCCTTTGTTAAGCTCTTCCCTGGATGAATTAAAATTGTATTGCAGATCGAGCTCTTCAAGGTCATTCATCTTGGATTCCCAGAGTTTCACCTGTTCATGAACATTTCCAATCTCTTCTTTTGACCATTGAGTAAGCCTTTTACTGAGTTTTTTAAGCTTTTGTTGAAGTTTCCACAAGGCATTCCCCCTAATATTGGAGGACCACACTTCTTCTACCAGATTCATGAATGAAGGTTGTTCCACCCAGAAATCAAGGAATTTGAAGTACTTAATACCATTGTTGTTTTTGTTATAACACTTAAGGAGTAAGGGCCTATGATCCGAACCAGTCTTGGTAGATGTTTGACATCATTATTTTGTATAAGTTGACACCATGAGTCATTAACAAAGATTCTATCCAGCCTCTTCCAAATTCTTCTTCTAGCCTCTCAGTTATTGCACCAAGTGAACTTAGGCCCAGCATAGCCTAAATCCTTAACTTTACAATTATTCATGCAAGTGTTAAAGTCTAAGCTTTTGGACATTCTGTTAGGTCGGCCACCCTGTTTTTCATTCGGATCAAGAATAACATTGAAGTCTTCTCCTACGCACCAAAGGCCATTAATTATCTTGTGGGTATTTTTCAAGCTAGACCATAGTGCTTTTCTGTCGCTAGCTTTACATTTTGCATAAACTGTCGTAATGTACATACTCTTGGCGTCCACCCCGTTATGTATTTTGATAGTGATTTGTTGATCATCCATAGTAACCACACTTGATTGAAAGTTTTCAGACCACATGAGCCAAATTTGCCCATTTGTGTTGGATATGCATTGTTTAAGCTTCAGAAACCTCATATACTTATCCAAATTGTTCATATTGGCAAATGGTTCCATTAGGTCAATGAAATCCACTTTGTTGATGTTGATCAGTTTTTTTAATCTAGGCATGGCCTTTTTTGTGTTAACTCCTCTAATATTCCAAAAAATGGCACTTATCATGGAAAAAGAAGGAATTAGTTTGACCCACCTCCCTGAGAAGGTGCTTTCTCATTCTGTTTTTTCTTCTTGTCTTTTTTTTTGTTCTGATTCTTGCGTTTAGTCACAAGAGAGAAGCCTTCTTCGTTATCCTGGTCTTGTACTTTCTGAAGTTGATTTTCTGGTAGCATTACTATCATTGTGTTTGGGGAGGTTATCTCAAATTGTTGTATATTTTCCATCCTTGTTGAAACTGTTTCACTGATGCCTTGTTGTTGTTTAGGGTTCAGATCAAGTTCTGAGCATATTCCAGGTAAGTTTTTAATTTCTGAAGGGATACTAATAGACTCACTAACATATTTTTGCGATTCCAATTCCTTATTTTCTTTGCCCCCAATACTACTTGTATTCAAATCAGGTTCTGCACTATCAGTTAGTACATCATGTTCAACCACATTAGTACTGCCTTCTTTTATGTTGTCTTCCTTGTTAAATTCCCCATCTAATTTCATCTGATTACTGCAATTCAGCACATCTTCTGTCTGCTGAATATTGATAAGTATGTTCTTTTGAGTGTTGGAACCTTTTACATGTTTGAAGACTACTTTGGATTTCTTTTTCGGAACTTTGTTGTGCCTTTTAGCTGTTTTCTTTTTGGAAGGTCTGTTTTTTATGCTCTGTTGTATTGGAACTGCTTACTCCATAATCTGCGAGTCATTTGGTTCCTTTCGTTGTTGATAACCACCATCTTGCTGCTTCTTTTTGTTATTAGCATAACTGCCAGTATTCATTTTTTTCTGCTTACTGCCCTGGTTTTGTCTCATCAGTGTATTCTGCAGTTCATTATAACTGTTGGTTTTCCCTGCTTCATTTTCATCATTTACTTCATTATTTTCAGCTATTTTAGCTTCCTCGTGCCTATTCTTGTTTTATTTTTCTTGTTGTTCTTTCCCTTTCCATCTCTCTTTTCCTTTCTAACACTCTACAACTCATCATGTTGTATCTTAACTTTCGACAAAGTTTACAATACTTAGGTACCCCCTAATATTCAAGCTTTTATATGAACCCTTTTTGGGGGGCACTGTCGAAGACTTGCCCAACGTAAACAACATCTGGTTGTTGTTTAAGTAAATTGATTTCAATTCGAACCTTCGCCATGCTAGGTCTAGTTTTACCTCGCGTCGCTAGGTCCATTTCCAATGGGGTTCCGACGACACTAACTACTTGCTTGATGTGGTGCCATGTATGCATATGGTATGGGAGACCAGGCAGCAACACCCATACCGGAGCCACTGGCAAGTCTTCCTCCGGCTTAAAATCCGGCGACCACCTCTGAAGCCACATTTGTTGACCCTCTATATCAATAACTCTCTTATACCATACAACATTAAAATTGTCTTCATTTGTGAAATCCAGAAATATATTAAAATTATCATAAACCTGAATTTTGACACTACCTTTGATGGTAATTAGTTCTTTGAATTTTGACCTAAGTCGGTCAATTTGGGGTCTAGGTTTGGGAAATCTACCCACAATTGTGAGTCTACATTCTTCAGCCATGATTCCATAGTAGTCTGCCGCCTTGAATAACACCACTGACATCCCATTGTATGTCGTGTGTGTCGCTATTACTGATTCTCTTGTTTGTTGCTTTGAGGATTCTAGAGCTTGCTTTGCTGCTAAAATTGCCCCTACATAGGAAGTCTTTGTTGTTGATGCTTCCATTGATTGTTTTGTAGATTGATGAGGGGGGTTATGGCCATCCAGATGCGCCGGAGGGGCTCCGTCCGGTGGATCCATGGTGAAGGTGCGTTTGGCTACTCGCTAGGTGATAGCCGTTAGTTACCGTTGTTTTAGAGAGAGTAGAGAGCGTAATTTTAAGAGAGAGAATATTAAATATAGGATTTGTAAATAGAATAAAGTTTTGAAATACAAGTTTTTGTGACTGATCGATATGGATTGTCGTATGGTAACTTGTATTGTAGTTATGTCCTCTTCCTATGAGTTCTTCTGTTTGATAATTTAGGGCTATTTTGGTATATTAATATCGTATTTATGCTTTTATAATAATACAAGCTCTCCTTTTTTAATGAATTTGGACAATATAATACATTCTCAAATTAAATTAGTAATAGGATATTATAATACATTTTTAAATTAAATTAGTAATAGGAATTTTTAAAAAGTATATCGTGAAAGTAGTAGAATTATATGACTAAAGATATTTACTTTTTCAATTTTACATGAATTAAACAGCCCGAAAGTAATTATACTAATAGGATTCCTAAAGGTAATCATGTAGGATTCCTAATGTGTAGTATTATGTCCTAAAACTAATTGGATTATAAGAATAATATATAGAATTACGGTTATGTCCTTTTATTATGAGTTATTATGCTTAATATTATAAGTTTATTTTTGTAAATCGACATTGTATTCATGCTTTTATAATAATTTTTTTTATTTTGCATTGTCAATTTTAGTCTCACAAAATGAAACTTCTAAACAATTTTAATAATAATTAGCAAACGATAAACATTTATGGTAAATCAATTAAAATAAGACCATTTAAATTTTTAGAAGTAGGTATCCGAACTACTCATTGAAAGCGAGCTTTAATTACTCATTATTTAAAGAAGATTTTTATTATTCGCTGCTTAAATATAGGAATTAAGTCCCAACAGGAAAAGATTTTACTTTGAGTAGTTTCTATCCAATATTACAATTATATCCTTCATTGAATTGATTTAAGTAGGAAATATTTGAGGGACATTTTTATCCACCAATATTATTATTTGTGCTTTTATAATAATATAGATAGATATAGATATAGATATTGTTATAAATAGTATTTTATTTATGGTGAATATCTATATTTTAGAGAAATTTAAGGGTTTGTCACTTGGTGGCTAAGTCACATTTTTCCTATAAATAGAAGGGTTCTATTCTATTATAATTCATCACAAATCAATAAGAATTATCTTTTTACTTTTCTGTGCAATATATATATATATATATATATATATATATATATATATATATATATATATATATGCATTGACTAACTAGTTACTGATTTGAACTACGCACTAACATGAAAACACATTGTACACTTCCTATGAAGTAGACAAAAAGCACAAACAACGTAAATGTACAACTACAATACACAAGAGTGTGACATAATCCTTCAACATCCCCTTCCAAGTTAGAGGGGCCTTAGCAACCCCGGCCTGAATAAGATGTTATATCTTGATTTCAGTGATGAAAAATAATATATCTTTCTTTGCAGGATCATTCAAGATGCGAAGGAGGATGCGAGCAAGTCTATCAATGATGTATGAAAAAAGATAAGAAAGGGAGGAGTAAAATAAAGGAAGAATGCAACAAAGAAGGAATAAAGAGATTTGTAAAAGACAAGCCAGATGACGGAGGTAGACCTGTTGGCGTCCGCAGTCCCTCGCATCCCCTCCTATGTTTCTACATTCCTATTTTATCTTCTTTAGAAACAGATGTATTTTTCTTTCAGACCAGTATTTGTAGTAATTCATAGAGTGTTCGTGGATTGTAATACTAGTTCGAGGTTGTAACAGTTTCGGTATTGTTAATAGTATAAAATAACCGATTTATTGCACACTTTCGCAATTATTTTCTGTTTGATTTAGCTTTGTTAGTCTTAACTATAAAAATGTAAAAGAAAAAGGTGAATTTAACTCTAACGTTGGCTTGCCTAGCGAGTACGATGTTAGGCGCCATCACGGTCCCGACGGTGGAAATTCAAGGTCATGACAAGTTTGTATCAGAGCACTAGGTTACTTAGGTCTCATGATTTGAACAGGCTTTGTAGAGTCTGGGGGATCGGTACGAAGACGTCTGTACTTATCTCCCAGAGGTTACAGATTTTAGGAATAATTTCACTCATATTCTTCTTTGCCGTGCGATGTTGTTCTCTCATTGCTAATTGAACTCTTCTACTCTTGTTCTCTCGCAGATCTCAAGAACACATACCGTTTCATCAGTTGATAGCTCGATCCCCCAGTGGCAGCTCCTATAAGAGGTAGAGGTCGAGGTCGTGCCATAGGTCGAGGCAAGGGCAGGGCTCAACCCAGAGCTCGAGCGGCAGCACCAGCAGCGGGACCTCAGGTGGAGTATGGCGATAAGGTTCTGGTCCGGACAGTTCCAGCAGGACCATCTCATGTCCTGGAGGGGTTTATAGCCACCCTAGTGCTTCAGGATGCTTTGGTCCGTCTTGTGGGTCTTATGGAGAGTGTA